TGTGGAGATGTTCGGACCCCGTGGTTGGAAAATCCGCCTCACGATCACTCCGCCGTATGCTTCCGAGATCAGCCAGACCTTCAACGAGTACCTGAAAGAAGCCTCGAACTACTACAAGGATCGGGAGCTCTACACTACAGTCGAGAGGGAGCCCGAGGTGCAGGCTCTGTTCAGCACGGGCGGACGTGCCAGGGCATTCTTGGAGCAGAAGGTGCACGTCATCGACCCCGGGGCCAAGGTGACCTGCTCTTGGCGTCCGGACTGGGAGCTCAAGATCACGACCTCGACGGGCCGCGAGGTGACCATCGGGACCATCGACGCGACCGCGAAGGTTGTCTGGATCCCGGAAGGGGTGACCGCGACATTCCGGACGACCCCGGAGGCCCTCCAGACGGAGTTCAAAGATTTCAGGGTCAAGGGCAAGGGGAAATGATCCCCTTCGTCTCCCGCCTCAGGGGAGAGTTGCACGGTTTACAGTTGGAATTCTTGCAAAAAGGGGAGTAGTGCAGCACCGAAGATTTGCAAAGTTTTCAGAAAACTTGCTGGGGACTTCGTGGCACTCTTGCAGGAGGTACCAACTTGGGGCAAAATTAATGGTGTCACTTATTCCGGCCACACCGTTTTAGCTGCCGAGTCGTGTGACTGTGCCATCGTTATTCCTAGAGTTTGGATGTCTGGCCTCAGGGATTTTGCCTCGGGTGCTTACTGGTGTGGGGCGGTTATCGGCAACACGATTTACTTATCTGTGCACGTTTTAGACCATCTTGAAGAGGATGGGCGGGCGGCCAGGGCATTTGAAGATTCCTCACGGTTCGTCCAACGAATTCGCGAAGCCTCCCAGAGTGTTCAATTTGATATCGTCCTCGGCGTTGACGCGAACATCCAGTTCCCGATGAACTTCGGCTCGGTGTCTGGGGAGGCCGTCCTCCCGCCTCGCAGCTCCCACACACTTGCTCGTATTAGGAAGGTGTCTGCGTGGATGGAGTCGTTAGGAGTGCTCGCTCTGAACACGTTCCGGGACCAGTGTGTGGAAGTGGATGGCACGATCGACCATAGCAGATTGTGGACAAGAGGTGTACGTAATAGGCCGGACACGAGAACCCACATTGATTTCTTGTGTGTTACAGTTGGTATACATGGGTACGCCAGGGCACGGAGTGTTCAAGGAAGATTATTCACTAGATCCGACCATCGTCCCGTTGTGGGTTGTCTGGAGCTCCCTCCGCCTCCAGAGGGGGGAAGAGTCAAGCAGCGCACACTTCTGGGATGGCGTCCAGAGACGGATGAAGCATTAACACAGTTTAAGCGATCTTGCACCCAATTAGCTGGTCACGACCTGAACGTTCTCCAGGAAACATTGCTACATCTGGGCTGCGACACACCACACACGACGTTTTTCTCTCGTAAGCGGCAGCAGAGCAGGACTACTAACGACCCGGTGAAGAAGGCGAAGGCTTTGCTGGCGAATGCGACGGAGGCCGACAGACCGAGCCTCGTACGGTCATTTCGGAAATTATGTAGGCGTGCCAGACAGGAGCGCAACGAACGTCGTTTATCTAGTATTTCCTCCAGCCGGCAATCCGGCCAGATGCCAGTGACTCTTACCATAAATGGGGAAAGGACCGCAGACAGGGAGAGATGGAGACACGCAGCCAAAGTCTTCGGCACGACCCGCTTCCAGGACGACGAGAACACCCTCCACGTCCAGGAGATGAGACTCGGTAGATGGGCGAGTCGGGCTTCCAATGAGATTTTGGATGGCCGGCGACCGCCTACACTCTCCGCATTTTCTGTACTGCAAGGGCGAGCCCGCATGAAGGCAGGGACGGCCGCGGGAAAAGACGGAGCCCCGCCAGAACTGTACAAAGCGTTACCGTTCACGGCAATCGTAAGGTTTTGGAGGGTATTTCAGCGTCGTTATTTGGGCAAGGAGGTCCACATTCCGGCCACCTGGAAGCAGATCGATTTCTCGGGCTTGAAGAAAATTGTCCGTCCTCTTACGCTTTCACATTTTAGACTCGTTGGTAAATTGGATTGTTGTCAGAAATGGTACACACATTGTTTGAAGCCTCTTTTAAGACCATCCTTGTCTGTTTCCAGAGTCTGCACTTATGGATTCAAGCAGGGGTGCTGCTGCGATGACATCACCGCGCTGCTCAGACATACGATTTTCTCGGCCGGGAGGTGGGGGATGGAGCTGGTGATCGGATCCCAGGACATCGAGATTGCTTTCGACAGCATGCGCCACGATCCAGTTTCGCAGGCTTTCGCCGATCGCGGGGCCCATCCGACTGTTGTGGCAGCAGTGCTTCGGGAAATGTCTGGCATGAAGGGCAGCCTGTCGCTACCCGGCATGGAAGCATCCGAGGAGTTCGCTATGCACCGGGGCGGCAAACAAGGAGGAGTGGAGACTCCATAGGTTTTCAACGCGGTTTTAGAATGGGCGCTGGAACCGCTGACCCGGAGCTGGCACGAGCGGGGCTTGGGTTTCAAGTTTGACGACAACGATTTGCCATTGACGCATTTGCTTTGGGCTGACAATATTTGGATCATCGCTGGCAGCATGCGTGAGTTTCTTTGCATGTCGCGGGAGCTCACGGACGTTATACTTTCAATAGGCTTCCGTTGGAAAGACACATCTTTGGAATATATGCCATGTGGGACTCTACGCGACGGCGGTGCTGCAGAGATCGATGGGTACAGGATGGTTGACCGCATCATATCTTTGGGCACTTACTTGCACAATGACGGAAGCACCATGGCGAGCTTGGAGCACAGATTGGAATGCGCGGAAAAGTGTTTCTGGAAGTACGCAAAATCATTCAGAGGTAAAGGTTCCATCGCTGCCAAGATGCGTGCGTGGTCTGCTGCCCCCTCAGCTTCGGCAGTTTACGGCTCTTGCTCGTGGCATCTGTGCAAACATGTTCTGTTGCGAGCACGGCGGTGGGAAAACAACTTCTTAAGAAAAGCCTTGAACTTGAAGCGCCGGCCGGACGAGGGTCAAGCACAGTACATGTTACGCACATCTCGACGGATACAACGTTTCTTTCGGATCACGGGCAATGTACATGTGCACTTGCGTTTGTTACGGGAGGTTTTCAAGCACGCGTGGAGAGAGCGCGGACTGCGAGATAGACATCTCCCAAACTATTTGGAGATGGCTCGCTCCTTCCGGACTCGGCAGTGGTGGACAACAGCGTTGGCGACGCAGTCATCCTACAAGCGACGTCGGGATGGGCACGTGCACGCGGGGATGGGGCACCGGACAGAATGGGAAGATATTTTCGTCGACGCTTTCGGGGTAGATTGGCGAGCAAAGCGGGATACGTGTACAACGCTTGCCGAGTGGATGCGGCTCTACCCAGATTTTGAAGCCCAGACCTGCGACCGCTGGAACCTGTACAGGCCGAGGGAGCAGGAGGAGGACGACGAACGGCACGTAGGGCCACCGCCTGCGCGCCGATCCCGGACAAATAACCACAGCCTCGACGATCTGCCGGCCACGCATGGCGAGGGCGCTCCGGAGATGCAGTGGGCCGGGCCCGAGCGACACTTCTGCTTTGTCACTGATTGCGAGCCCCTAGCGAACGTCATCAACGGCGAAACGGTCTTGCTCAATCCTGACCTTCTTCCGCTCTTCACCCGTGTGTCCGACAAATTATTCGGTCTGGTGGAAAATGGTTGGATGACGAGCCAGCCGGAACTGAACCCTGCGCAGTGGCGCCGGCGATGTTTCAATAGAATCGCCGACCACATTGCGAATTACACAATGGATATCCAGCGGTCATGGTGTCAGAAGTTTACACCTCCTGTGGACAACGTGCCTGTGCAGAAAGCGAACTATGTCATACATACTGACGGGGGGACTCGTGCAAACAAGTGCTCTTCTTCAGCGTGGTATGTCGAAGCCCACGTGCAGCTACCGAGTGGGACTGTATCGTCTCCTATCTGCATGGCAGGACGATTTTTCAGCACACCAATCTCTTCCTTTACTGCCGAGGCCATAGCATTGGAAGAAGCAATAGACCTGATATGGGAGCTTTTGAGAACATGATCATGTGATGCTTACCTTGCAACGTCAGTAACAGGCCAGTGCAATCGCGCTTCATGCCTCTGGAAAGAAAGAAAGACGACCCAAGAAGCCCCCAAGACACCCCAAGAGGGCCCCAAGATGATCCCCAAGAGCGTCCCCACAGGCAATTTATGTATTTGTTCTCTTCACGTTTTTGAGCAGTTTTGGCGTTATGGCCTTTTCTCGTTTCCGACCGCCCAAGGCGCCCGAGAGGCCCCCAAGATCGCCCAAAGACGGCCCGAGAGGCTCCCAAGAGGACCCCAAGGCGGCCCAAGAGGCCCCCCAACACGGCCCATGAGGTCCCCAAAAGAGCCCCAAGAGGAGCCCAAGAGGGGGAACCACAACTGGCATTCGAACCCCTCCCCCAAGGATGCCCCCCGAGACCCCGCGTGGCTCCCGGAGGCTCTCAAGAGGCCCCCACGAGGCCCCAAGAAGCCCCCAAGAGGCCCCAAAAATGCCTCAGAGAGGCTCCCGAGAGGCCTCCCCCCAAAAACCCCAAGAAGTCTCCCAAAGAGGGCTCTCGTCCACGACCCAGGCACGGTGGCGCGTTTGGCCGAAGGCCGCTAGATTGAAGACAGTATCAAATCGAATAACTTCTGCTGCCGGCCCCAAGTGAGCCTGTCCGTATTAGACAGCGCTGATAATGCAGTCGAAAAGACTGTCGCTTTGGTCCTTGCGCGGAGGCCGCGCAAAGAGTGCGGATCGTGCGGGTGCCAAGCACAGAAAGCAAGGCGCGCCTTCCCTGGCACGTACCAAGGGTGTCCAGCGGCAGTCTGCGATCGCAGCGACTCGCAAATTCGAAGACACGAATCCAACCGATTACCATATTTTTCGACTCTCCTTTTCCTCCTCCTCCTCCTCTTCCTTTTCCCCCAAATCCACTTACATGTCTAGCGCGACGTGCGCCAGCTGAGGCCCGGAAACGATGTCAGATTCGCAAGCTCACGGAAGAACGACCCTTTGACGGAATCTCAGGCGAGTGCGGATGCCACATGTCTCGCGGGATGCCCTCTTGATTCGCCCAGAACTCCATCTGGCCGTAAGCCTCCGCAGGGCAAATGACCAGCGGGCCCTCGTCGATGATCTTCTTCCTCGCGCGGGCATAGAAAATTGGGATGCCGTGCTTCGTGGAGAAGTCGGCCTCGTCCACACAGATCGGCCCGCCGCCGATCAGGACGTGGCACGTGGGGAAGCCGGCGTCCCGCAGCTTCTGCGAGAAACACACCTGGGAGGCCCCGATAAGGTTCCCCTTCCGATCGTAGCCGCCGAACTGGATCTCCTTCTTCTGGGTCCTCCTGTTCAGATGCTGCCTCGTCTTGTACTGATGCAAAGCTCCGTCCTCGAGATGTTCAAAGCGCTCCACGCTCGAGGGCGCCAGGATGTCTTTCCCGAAGAAGTCGCACTGCACCGCGAGGACTTTCTTGCCGTGCTTTGTGTGCAGGCGGCGGACTGGGTAGGCGATGGTGTGGACGTCGTCCTGGCATGGCTCCCCTCCGTAGACCGCCAGCCAGTTGGCACCGAAGAGGGAGTCCAGATTGCGCACCACGACGTCCACGATCCTGTCGCATTCCACAAGGTCGCCAAATTGGCCGGCCGAACCGTGGCCCCCGAAAAGGACCACGGCGTTGAACTGCTGCATGTAGTCCAAGAGCTCACTCTGGCTACGCAACTCCGTCAAGCCCTCCGGCCGATTCTTCTCACTCCCCACCTGGGTCGGAAGCTGGCACGACTCGCTGAAGAGGGTCGCGTACTGAGCCAAAGTGCCAACGATACTGGCCACAGCGGCTGCCAACATGTCGGGGTCGTCCGCCTCACCAAGGTCCAGCAACTCCCAAGCACTCTGGGCGTCTTGCAAGGCACTCCGCGCCTCGTCCGAGAAGAGCGCAGAACAGCTCGCGGCCAGCAACTCCTTCATGGGACTCTTCGTACCAATCTTCTTGTTCCCAGCCGCCCCACCAGTGACGCGCGCGGGAATCGCGACGTGCCCTGCCTTCTCGACCATCATGGCCGAAGTTGTTGCGCCTGGCCCACCCTCGATCAAGATCAAGGTCCCGAGGCACCCCATGATCTCGAGCCTCTCCTTGTTGCTGTTGCCGTAAAACAGCGTCGTCCCGAAATCCCACTTGTCGAACGCAGCCTTGCCGTCGGCTGTCACCTTCGTAGGTGCCTTGTCCTTGAACCGCGTCGTGATATCCGGGTCCGACTTCGGCAGCGCCATGTACGTGGCCTCTGGCCGCTTGTTGGCCTTTCGCGCCGCGCAGAAAGCCCGCGAGGTGGTCGCCTCCACGCCGCAGAAGCCTCCCGTGATCAGTGCGAGCTCTTCCTTGCTCTCGGCCAAGGCTTGGCCGATGCACTGGCAAATGAGCTCTGACTTCGGGTTGAAGAAATCAGTGCTGCCCATGACGGCCACGAAACCGCTGAGCTTCTCCTGCGAAATCTTCAGATCATTCTCCATTTCCTCAATCAGCTGGGAGTGCAGCTCTGCCGGCGACGAGGCCTTTTCCAAGGTGCAGGACATGTCTGTCACGTTGGTCTCGTCGCATGGGTCGATGGAGGATGTAGCATTTTCGTCGTCGTGGGGCAAAGAAGTGAGCAACGCAGTGCGCAATCCCCCGTAGAAGCTGCCCGGCTTGTTTCCCACCAGCCACTCCTCCGACACCTCCTGCTCTCGGACCACCAAGGCCCCGGTGCAGGCGCACTTCTACACCTGGGGCTGAGCGATGATGAAATTGACGGTTGCGAGCATGAAGCTCATCTCTCCTGGCAACATGAATGTCTCGTACATTACGGGGATAATGCCCAACCGGTCCTGGCAGTTCTGCATGACCCACTGAAACTCCATCATGCATGCTGGGCTCCGACAGAAGGCGCTGGAGAGAATGAAGACAATGGCGATGGTGTTGGTGTCTGTCACCTTCTTTAACCACTGGGTCATCCCGTTTGCGCCCCCCTGGACTTCGCCCCCTGACCAAGCTTCATAGTTCTTCGATGTCAAAAAAGCGGCGACGCGGTCCTTGAAATCATTCTGCTTGGTGCTGTAGCTTATCACGACACGCCCGCGTCCCGCTTTGCCGCTGGGCCTCTCGGGCCCCTCGGGGCTCGGGGAGGTTGTCGGCAGATCTTTGGCATGCTTTTGTTCCGAATTATTGACCCCCTTGAGCTTGTTATATTCCTCTATGTCGATTGTGATGCTAGTCGGATGCACCTTGGTTTCGGATGCACGGCTGCACCCACCACCCATACTTTGGCAAGAGCAAGCGCTGGCTGGTGGGCTCTGGGCCAAACACGCTTGAGCCAGAATGGCGGCTACGCAGAGCGAGAGCCACACTGAAAATCACCCGCCCTGACCCCTCAAGGGGGGTTCAAACCTCCTGCTGGTAAGCTGTGACGGCGGGTCGACCGAAACGCCAGGGCCGCCCGACCGACGCGCCCGGTCGTGCGACGACGCGGACCTGTCGATAGCCAGGGGCATCCTCCCCAGTTTCTTTTACTTTTTGAGAGGCATCCCTCCCCAGGGTCAATCTTTCATCACGGATCCGTTCCTGAGGGTCCCGGGGGCCCGAAGACGGCCCCTCCCCCCTCTACAATTACACAATATGAATACTACTCTCCCACTTCCCCTGATGGCGTCCGGAAGATGTTCGGCACCCCCCCGCGTACTGTTTTTTTACACACAGGATTCCCCGGAGTTGGGTTTTCGCTTGTGTTTTTTTCTAAAATGCTGCTCTCGCTGAGGCGCTGGCCTAATTTTCGGGCTCCCGCTCCTTCCGAATCGTGTTCCCGCTGCAGCGCTGGCCTCATTTCCGCGCTCCCGCTCGTTCCGAATCGTGCTCCCGCTGCAGCGCTGGCCCAATTTCTGCGCCTCTCGTTGTTCCAAAACGTGCTCCCGCTGCAGCGCCGACGTTTTCGATCCTTTTTAAGAAGCCCCAAATCTAGAAAATGATCCCCGGCAAAAACATTGGAGGTGATTACACATCCGGTGTCGATTCGTTGATTTTTGGGGCCGCAGAAAGCCCCCCCCCTTTTGGGCGGCGTCCTTTTCCGCACAGGATTCCCGGGAGTTTGGTTTTCATCTATGTTTTTGAAAATCCGAGTCTTTCCGGTCCTTCAGAATGTTGCTCCCGCTGCAGCGTTCGTCCTATTTTCCGCGCCGCTGGTCGTTCCAAATCGTGCTGCCGCTGCAGTGCAACGGTCCCGCCGGTCGTCCTCATCGTCGTCGTCGTCGTCGTCGTCGCCGCCGTCGTCGTCGTCGTCGTGGTGTCGTCGTCGTCGTCGTCGTCTTCGTTTTCATCGCGCCGTCGTCCTCCTCCTTTCCCTCTTAGGTAACAGGGTCAGATGCGAAGCCCGATTCGGTGAGAGGACAATGAAGTAGCTCAATGGGAAGGGATGGGAGGGAGGGGTAGGATGTCAGATGTTGACGCGAGCGCACCTAGCTTGCCCCCCCCCCCTCTCTCTCTCTCTTCCCCCCCTGCCCCCGCTGCACCCCTCCCCCCCTGGGCGCCGAAAACGGCGGAGCGCCGAAAATGACGGAAACCAACGAAGACCTAAGAGAAATCATCAGGCCAGGGGGGAGTCCGGGGAGGCTCCTGGAGGCCCCCGGAGGCCTCCCCGAAGTCCCCAGAGGCCCAGAAAAGGAAAAACAACAAAAAAAACGCCCGATCACTTCCGAAAACCCGGCTTCCAGAGGCCGAAAAACCAGCGGAAGCCATTGAAAAACCAGCGGACGCCCACGACGAAAGCCAGCGGACGACGGCGAAACATCGACGACCACGGTGGACGAGGATTCAGGGTGGGCAGGGGAGTGGACGTCCATGCGCCGCGGCCCGTCTTTTCTTCAAAGCGCGAAACGACATCGCTGATACGGTGACGACGGCGGCCTCGCGTCATAGCGGCGTGGGCTCGGGGTTCTGTCACCGCGGGGGCCGTTCAGTCTTGGAGCGATCCCCGCCTACGGGGTTCCCCAGAGGCCGCAGTGCTGAACGCCTGCGTCCGCGCCGCCGCAGGGCCGAGGCGGACGAAGACGAACCAACTGCACTGCCGCGAACGCTCCGGACACCAGAGTAGCTGCAGGCATCCTGTTCTGAAGTAAAGCGAGGAACGTACATTTGCTCGGGTGTGGTCTCCGAGGAGACCCCTTTTCACCGCGTGCGCACAGCATTGATACGCCTAATGACGAGGCAAACCATGCGACAGGAAAGAAGGAGGCAATCATGACTACCATAGGCGCAGATCGCTCGACGGCGGCCGACCCCGGGCCACAAGCGGCGTTTCAGCCTCGAGAGGCCCGCGCCGGAGGCGCCGCCGCGTCGGCGAAGAAGCGGACCTGCCGCACCCCCCCCAACGACGTCGACGACAACGAGGGCGGCGAAGAGCGTGACGAAGACGACCACGACGATCACGACGACGACGACGACGACGACGACGACGACGACGACGACGACGACGACGCCATACGACGGCGATCACGACGACGGCGGCGACGACGACGACGCTCTCCTGGAGCACGCCTGCAACCGATCCCGCAATCGGGGCTCCTCGTCAGAAGGGGCCAGCGCCGGCGCCCCCGGGCCCGCCCGGGGCGCTCCCCCGGCTGCGGGTAGCCTTCCCTCCTCCCGCCCTCCCCCTCCCGCCCCCCTCGTCCCCGCAGGCGTCCTCCTCCCTTTTTTTTGATGGCTTTCCCGAAACAGTGCTTGCACTCAGGGGCTCTTACTTCGTCTAACCATTTCGGGCCCCCTGTCGCCTGTTCGCCGCGGTGCCGCCCGTCGCCGCCCCGTCGCCGCCGCCGTCGCCGCCGCCCGTCTCGGGTCCCCTGTCGCCCGTCGCCGCCCGTGCCGCCCGTCGCCGCCGCCCGTCTCGGGTCCCCTGCGCCCGTCGCCGCCCGTGCCGCCCGTGGCCGCCGTCGCCGCCGCCGTCGCCGCCGCCGTCGCCGCCGCCGTCGCCGCCTCGATTCTCCTTTCTAAAAGACTAATAGATTCTACCCCCCCCCGGACTTATCGGGACCCCCGCGCGTGCTGCAAATCACATGTGATTCTGACCACATGTCCATCCTAAATATGAATTCATACCATCCCAACCAAGCCGGTATCCCCCCCCCCCTGCGGTTCCCTGTCAAATAACACTATGCGGGGGCATTTTTCTTTCTAACATAACACTTTTTCACGAATCCCTTGCGTGCACACGCGCGCGTCGTCGCGCGCGCATGCCGAAATCCTTCAAAAACCTTCGGTGCCGGAAGGATTTCGCAATCGAGTTTCCGAAAAACATACAAAACACATGGTTTTGCAGCACTGGTTTGCTAAAAAAACTTCCGCGCGAGCTCTTGCGAAATCTTAAGAAAACTATATATTTTTGGTTCCCCCCAAAAATTTTACAAAATGCTACCAAACGGGCTTCGCGCGCGCGCGTGTCGAAATCTGTCGAACGCCCTTGCGCGTGTGCCGTCGCGAGAATCCTCTGCAAACAATAGGACGAAGTGCAGACGCGCGCGTCGTCGCGGACGTATGCCGAAAACCTTCGAAACCCATCGGTTTCGGAAGGATTTCAAAATCGTGCGTCCAAAAAACCTACAAGAACCCAAGGTTTCGCAACACGGATTTTCAACAAAAGCGTGCGCGCGCGCTCTTGCGTCGTCGTCGTCGTCGTCGCCGTCCTCCCTCCTCCCGCGTCGTCGTCGTCGTCGCCTACGTCGTCCTCTGTCTTTTCTCCTGTTTGTCGTCGTCGTCCTCTTTGGCGTCGTGGTCGTTTCCATCGTCGTTGTCGCCGTGGTCGTCCTTCCTCCTCCTCCCACGTCGTCGTCGTCGTCCGTCGTCGGCGTCTCATCGTCGTCCCTCCTATGTCGTCGCCGTCGTCGTCGTCGTTGTCGTCGTCGTCTTCCCTCCTCCCTCGTCGTTGTCGTCGTCGGCGTCGCCGTCCTTCCTCCTTCGTCGTCGTTCGCGTCGTCACCGTCCTCCCTCCTCCTTCGTCGTTGTCGTCGCTGTCGCCATCGTCGTCCTTCCTCCTTCCTCGTCGTCGCCTTCGTTGGCGTCGTCGTCGTCGTTTTCGTCGTCGTCGTTGTCGTCGTCGAAGTCGTCGGAGACGTCGTCGGTGTCGTCCTAGTCGTTGTCGTCGGTGTCGTCGTAGTCGGTCTTGACAGGTTTTGCAAACCAAGTTGCGGGTGGGTGGGTGGGATGTTTGCGCGAGCAGTGGAAAAAAACAACTTCAAGTTCAGCAAATTAATTGCACCACATAGCTTGCACCATATAGATTCTCCCTTCTTTTAAAGAAATTAGATTATCCCACCCTCCCCGCCCCGGGGTTCTCATTCCCCTTTTTCGATCGCGAACTCATATATGTTCCTGCCTCCTTGTTCATTTTCCATATGAAGTCATACCATCCCAGCCAGTCCCGGCATCCCCCCCCCCCCCCCCCCACACACACACACACGCACACACATCCTGGTCAAATAATACCATGCGGTGCACATGCGTTGATCTAAAATGACATTGTTGCATGATTCCCTATCGAATAAAACCATGCGGCCCACATGCGCGCGTCCGCCGCGCGAGCATGTCGAAATCCTTAAAAACACAAATGGTTTTCAAGAGCTTCAATAAAACGCACGAGAACACAAGACTTTCTCATCGACAATTCCTGGAATTTTTGTTACCGCGCACTTGCTGAGTCCTTTAAAAACCGATGGCTTTTAAACATTCCTGTCAAAGGGGGCTTCGCGGGCAACTTTCGCGCGCGCGTTGAATTCATTCAACGACATTCGCGCGCTTGCCAAAGGCACGCTCCCAGACAAATCATACCATGCGGGCCACATGCGCGCTTCCGCCGCGCGAGCATGTCGAAATCCTTAAAACCAAACTATGTTCCAAGAAGTTCAACATATAACTTCACTAACACGTACGAAAACACAACGCCTTCTCATTTGGATGTGCTCAAGTTTCTGCTCGCGCGCACTTGCTGAACCATTGAAAAACAAATTGTTTCCACCATTCCTGTCAAAGGGGGCTTCGCGGGCAACCTTTGCGCGCGCGTTGAACTCTTTCAACGACATTCGCGCGCTTGCCAGAGGCGCCATCCCTGACAAATAATGCGATGCGGGCCAAATGCGCGCGTCCGCCGCGCGGGCATGTCAAAATCCTTCCAAACCCTTTGTGGTTTCCAACAAGTTCAAGTCCGACCTTCACTAACAAATTGAAAACACACTCTTTACCTGTTCAACAATGCCGCTGTTCTGCGCGTCCGCGATTCCTC